TTGCAGTGAGCCGAGATTACGCCACTGCACTATAGGTGGGGCAACAAGAGCGACACTCCGTCTCAAAAGAAAAAGAAAAAAAGTAAAATTGTATTTCATTTAATGGCCTTAATACAGGGATAAACATTTCAAAGTGGAACTTTCCATTTGTAGTAATTTCCTTTGAGTTGTCTATGTTTATGTGCTGTCAATATTGATAGAAGCTGAAGAAGTTGGTGAATTTTTATGACTACCACTTTTTTTTTTTTTTTTTTTTTTTTTTTTTTTGAGACAGGGTCTCGCTCTGTTGCCTAGGCCTGGAGTGCAGTGGCGCGATCACAGCTCACTGCAGTCTCAAACTCCTACGCTCAAGCAATCATCCTGCCTCAGCCTCCTGAGTAGCTTACACTACAGGCATGCCTCACCATGCCTGGCTGCTTTTTGTAGAGATGGAGTCTCAATATGTTGCCCAGGATAGTTTCAAACTCCTGGCCTCAAGTGATTCTCCTGCCTTGGCCTATGAGCCCCATGCCCACCATAATTATGCCTTTTTCCAAATTGTTACTTCTTTGTGCCTTTATTGTATCCAGTAAATACTTCTGACACAGCACTAGTATCACTTGATTGTACTTACTTTTTTACATAGTTGTGGTTTTGCCAGGTAGACTAAAAACCCTTCCAGAAGTTTATTTTCTATGATACCTAACACATTGTGGGTGTTTAATAAATATTTATTGACTAGATGAATGTATACTTAGGTATCTCTTTGTTTTTCAGATTTAGCATGTAGACTGCTGGGGCAATCAATGGATGAAAGTGGATTACCACAGCTGACCAGTTATGATTGTGAAGTTAATGCTCCTATACAAGGCAGCAGAAACCTACTGCAGGGTGAAGAATTACTCAGAGCTTTGGATCAAGTTAACTGAGCTTTTTCATAATTTCATTCCTTTTTTTGGACACTGGTGGCTCATTACCTAAAGCAGTCTATTTATATTTTCTACATCTAATTTTAGAAGCCTGGCTACAATACTGCACAAACTTGGTTAGTTCAATTTTGATTCCCTTTCTACTTAATTTACATTAATGCTCTTTTTTAGTATGTTCTTTAATGCTGGATCACAGACAGCTCATTTTCTCAGTTTTTTGGTATTTAAACCATTGCATTGCAGTAGCATCATTTTTAAAAATGCACCTTTTTATTTATTTATTTTTGGCTAGGGAGTTTATCCCTTTTTCGAATTATTTTTAATAAGATGCCAATATAATTTTTGTAAGAAGGCAGTAACCTTTCATCATGATCATAGGCAGTGAAAAAATTTTTACATCTTTTTTTTCACATTTTACATAAACAATAATGCTTTGCCAGCAGTAAGTGGTAGCCACAATTGCACAATATATTTTCTTAAAAAATACCAGCAGTTACTCATGGAATATATTCTGTGTTTATAAAACTAGTTTTTAAGAAGAAATTTTTTTGGGCCTATGAAATTGTTAAACCTGGAACATGACATTGTTAATCATATAATAATGATTCTTAAATGCTGTATGGTTTATTATTTAAATGGGTAAAGCCATTTACATGATATAGAAAGATATGCATATATCTAGAAGGTATATGGCATTTATTTGGGTAGAATTCTCAATTCAGAGAAATCATCTGATGTTTCTATAGTCACTTTGCCAGCTCAAAAGAAAATACCCTATGTAGTTGTGGAAGTTTATGCTAATATTGTGTAACTGATATTAAACCTAAATGTTCTGCCTACCCTGTTGGTATAAAGATATTTTGAGCAGACTGTAAACAAGAAAAAAAATCATGCATTCTTAGCAAAATTGCCTAGTATGTTAATTTGCTCAAAATACAATGTTTGATTTTATGCACTTTGTCGCTATTAACATCCTTCTTTTTTCATGTAGATTTCAATAATTGAGTAATTTTAGAAGCATTATTTTAGGAATATATAGTTGTCACCGTAAATATCTTGTTTTTTCTATGTGCATTGTACAAATTTTTCATTCCTTTTGCTCTTTGTGGTTGGATCTAACACTAACTGTATTGTTTTGTTACATCAAATAAACATCTTCTGTGGACCAGGCCCCTTTGATCAGCTTTTATGTTCCAGTATTAAGAATATTTGCTTCAAGACCTCCAACTCATAAAATTGTTTACCAACAATTTAAGTACTTTATGAAAATTACATGGTACTGGTTATTTCTACATTTATCTTATTGCTATCACCTTAATGTATGTTGAGTCCCGAACTGTCATGTTAAATAGTAACAACCATAATATCCCATTGTAAAGAGTATGTTGTTAGAAAAGAAACATCATTTTTAAATTTCTGAGTCTATTAAAATGTTAAAACACAAAATGTTAGTATTTTTAGTATGTGAATGGGATGAGCGAAGTCTCAACATTATAGTCACATAATGTTACAAAGGCTAGAGTTTCTCTGAAGATTTCTAATCTATTCCCATTAACAGATGAATAAATTTAGACCTCAAATGAAGAAAAATTTGCCCAAGCTTTAAAAGTAATAGATGGCAGACCAAAAATGTAAGCTTAAGTTTCCTAACTCAAAAGTCAAACTTGGAACAAGTTTGGTTTGTTCTTGTTTTAATTATACTGCATTTAAAAACAAAGTATCTTTATTCTTTTTCTCCTGTATTTTTCTTTTATGAAATAGATATATTTCTTTTACACTCATAATCTCATTTAAAAAATCAGACAGTATAGAAAGATATTTTTGAAAACTGAAAAATCACTATGAATCTGTGCACCTACAGGTACAGAAAATTATTTTTATGAACAAATTGCGTAGGAAGTGCCAAAGCCTTAGGTCTTGTACCCTGAGGTATATATACTGAACAAAAGGAACTAAGCAGCAGATCTCTTAGGTGGCTGTTTTTATCTTAAAATGGAAGACAGTGATTAAAATTAAAATTACATGAAAATTTTGGAACAAAAGTTCACAATACTTGGGGGGGACAGGTACACTTAACCACAAATACAGTGACCCAAAGTGCTTCAACATTTAGTTACAGATAGTATTATACTAGAAGTGGTATTTTAGAATAAAGTAGTTGCTTAATATTCACAGGTCACAAAACAAAAAATTATGCTTATGTAGCTAATAGCTTCAGTTGGAAACTATTTGTAAATGAGCAAATTATGTAATGACCGAGAGTTCAGAAAAATGACTTGTGAAAGCACTGATTGCGAAGGGAAAGCCGCCATTAAAGGACAGTACAGCTGGAAGGAAGCAAGTACTAACCTACTGCTCAGTCACTCAGGAAACAAGCTACTTGGAATGCTTTAAGCTATGGAATAGTAAAAGTAGCCCTTCCCAATTTTATGCACCATCACAAATTTCTTCATAATGGTTTGTCCAAGGTTTATAACCCAACCCTAGCAACTATACTTCTATAATAGTTCTCTCCGTAATATTCCTCTCCCCTCCTTATGTTATGAAATAGCTGTATTTCTTTTATACTCCTAACCCAGAAAATGGGAATGTATGTTCTGAGTAGAAAAGAGATGTAGCTGTTACAGGAGAAAATAAATAAAGCCATTTCAATTTGTTTAATGCAGTATCATTAAAAACCAAATTTGTTCAGTTTGACTTTAGAATCAGGAGACTTAGCTTACATTTTTGGCCTGCCATCTATTACTTTTAGAGCTTGGGTGAATTATTCTTCATTTGAGGTCTAAATGCTATATGTAGTTCATTCATAGCAGTACCACATAGTGAGGAGTATATCTATACAGTATATAGCCTTGGAGAAGTGCTCTAAGTTTCAGAGCATTTGAGGTGGCCGTTAGTGACTCCAAAGCCCATGGTGCTAACCACCCTGCAATGCTAGCCAATCCAGTTGAACATAACCTTTTCTCCATTGTTAACTGAGGGTTCCATGTCAGTTCAAAGTAATGAGATCACATAACACATTGAGGGAATGTCCTAAGAGGAGTGGCAAAGCATAAACAAATGAATAAAAGTGTCCTCAGCGCTATTTAATGGGTTCTGAATTTGAACTAGAGATTGAGATCTCTAGTTACGGAGACATTAACTCACATTAATGAGGTAGTGAATGGGAAAGCACAAACTATAAAAGACTGTATCAATGTATGGTATGGTTTTCCCAGAGCTGTTTTGACTTAATGGCATTACAGATAGTAAGTTTTTATAACTTGACGATTACCATTCCAAATCTTGATTTCCTTCTAGAAACCTCTACACAGAAAAGATAAACTTAAAAATACTCGCTTTGTGGAAACTTAATCTAAAAGCTCAAAATTTTCAAATAGCAATACCTAAAACAAGTTGCAGAGTAAAGAATCCTCTTTTTTTCAACATTAAGATTTGGTTAAACCTTTGCAAACGTGTTGCTAGCTGGAACCAACAAAAAATGTAAAACCTTTTTTTTTAAGTCTTCTTTGCTCGTATTTCGTTCCTTTAAATAGAGGTGAGCCTGCCGTCTCATATCATTTTACAGAGAATTAGTGAAATCAGTGAAATTCGATACAAAATAGTCTCCCTGTAGGATAAAAGTTACACTTTACCATAAACCTTCCTATGAACGCCTTCTGGAGCCTTGATGCGTTCACACCTTTCATAGGGTTGGACATAATTTTTATTCTTACCTGTAATGGATAGTTTTTCCAAGACGCTGCCCAGACACCCGATCTCCGTGTACTATTGAATTTTCTGTATTCCCTTGTCTTGGCTCCATTCTGGGACGGAGAGGAAAGACAGGTGCCTGAGAACAGCAGCGGTCAGAGCCCCGCGGGGAAAATACCAAGCATGCAGAAGGGACCCGGCACCCCTTACGTTCCTGGTGTAGCTGGCGCCACATGATGAGGATGCGAAACCCAAGCCAACCCGAGAAACTTCTCGAGCCCCGCCCGGCGCACGGCAGGCCACGCCCCGGTACGTGCTGGGGCGCAGCACCGCAGCCACGGCCCCGGGCTCCCGGGCCGCCGGGCTCCCGCCGCGCGAAGTGGCTGCGTGTGTGCAGTGGGGTGGCTGCTGTCAGCTCCGCGTACGTGTGCGAGCGCATGCGGGAGGCCCTGGCCTCTCCGGGCCTGCGAACGGGCGGGGCCCGGCGCGAGGGGTCAACCCTGGGCCTTGTCTTCTGGGGCTTTGTCTTCTGGGACTTGTCAAAGTGGGAAGCGTAGTGCTTCCCAGACTGTTTTTTAGATGGGCGTGGGCGAATGGGACTCGGTATGTTGCTGTAGAGCTGTCTCCTTTGGGGTGCGAAGCTTTTTCTTTGTAGAATAGGAAAATTTGAATTCTAACAGATTGGACCGTCGTTAGCTATATAATACTTTTTTTTTTTTAATTAGACATCTACTAATCTAATAAAAAATACAGGACTTCTATGTCTGTTTAAACATATTCCTCTTAAGGCGCTCAAAGACTTAGCTTATTTTAAATAAAGCACTTTGAGATATGCCTAGTTAAGGATCTCGAAACTTAAGCTACCCCATGTGATGCTGTTTTTATTTGGGGGGGTTTGTTGGGAGGTGTTGGCCTTTTTACTTTTTTCATTATATTGTTTGCCAACTATTGAGGATCCTTTGGGAGAAGATAATCTTGTTGGACAGAAGGGAGGTGAGTGTGTGGAATACGGAAAATGCTTGGAGCCTTAATCTCTGTAATAATTGGTATGTTAAGATTGCATAAGGTAAAGTACAAAGCCAGGTATTGTTTAGAATAAATAACTTCCCCTCTGCATATCCACAGCTCACTGCATTTTACATTTTATTTTAATTTGTTTCCTTCAGGAAAATTCATTGTGGTTTCTTCAAATAGAATTTTATAGAAAGCAAAGGTACACTTTTACAAAGCAGTTGAGGTGTTTTAGATACTTTTTACTAGTAAAAACTGATCTGTAGCCTCAGTCATCATACGTGTGTGTGTTTGTGTTTAATTAGGGAGGTGCCCTTTAATGAGAGTGCCATAATTCTTTTGCTCTTACGGATGCATAATCATTATAGATGGACGATTCTCCATAGAGGAGAGCAGGCTGGTGGGGCTGTAATATTAATCGCAGAGGATATACCTTTTACAAAGTTGAGAAATGCCGTGATAGCCAGATAAGTAGACTAGGATTCTGTGAAGCCAAATCTAATTTTAAAGATCTTTGAAATATTTACATTAACAAACTATTTTATGTAGAGATCCTTTCTAAATATGACTGGATAATATTATTTGCTCTTTGAAATGGATTTTTAAAAATGGTTCTACATACAAAATCTTTCATAAGGGTACAGAACAGTCTGGAAGGAGTCATTATAAACTGTTGCCTGACTCCCTAATCTGCTGGTAGAATATTAGAGCAAAAACCTAAAGAAAATGAGCTACAAATACAGAAAATTAGAAAGGAGCCGGTACAGTCTGGGAGGTACTTTGCTTCAGCCTTTGCCTCTTATAGTTTTTCCAACTGCAAATATTTGTCACTCCTGTGAACTTCCTTATCACTTCCTCTTTATCGAGAAAACCTCTTTCTCTTTTTTTAAACCTTATAATGTTTGCGTGCCTTAATCACTCATACTAAACTCTTAATTTCTTCAGAGCATGGTTCCCATCTGACTCATCTTTGATCAGTCCTAAAACCTTCCACTCTGCATGCGCAAAGACAACTCACACATGATCCAAGATGGGAGAGGATTTCAGGTGTGACAGAGACCAGAGAAGAATTATGATCAGAGGAACCGAATGGAGAACAGAACCATTTTCTAGCTCTTCCAGGGAGATTCTTTCAATCAATGAATAGTGTTGAGTAAGTACAAGATATTATTCTAAGACCTCTAGGTAATATAAATATTCTAGTATATTATGCCTGCTATCAAGAGAGCAGTTAATTCCCATTCCGTGAGGTACTCACAAATTAAACTGTAGTTGTGCAAATACAGTTGAAGTCTAAATAGAATTTTTATTGGCCCTTTGAGATGTTTTAAGCCACCATTACTTTTCCTTTTCAGGTTTGTCTCCAACTTGATAATCTGTCCCCAGCCCAGGGCACCCCAAATTTGGCATGTCAAAAAATAACTCCTCATTTGTCCTCCAAATGGCTTCTCCTCTTGCATTTCCTGCTCAATGCATGGCACCATTCAGTCTGAAACCAGAACCCTAGAGGTCACTCTCTTATCTGCCACATATAGTCTGACACAGACCTTTGCTTTCCTCCAATTATAATTATGGAAACTTGAACATGTACAAAAGTAAAGAGACCGTAATGATGCCAAAGTGTCTTTGCAGTTTGTGTTCTCTGAGAGGTAGCGTCTAAGATGGAGATTTATTGAGGAGAGCTTTTCAACACGTGGAAGAGAAAAAGCAGTAGGCAGAGGGAGAAACAGCAGAGGTGCAGCCCCAACAAAGGCCTTCAGCAGCCACATGGGGAGCTCTGGAACTGCATAGCCCTTGAGACTTGTCGCAAGTTACAGGGAGTGTAGAGGCCTTTATGCCCTTACACTGATCAGTATCTTGATGTGGGCTGCCCCCGGGAGACATGACCTTTAGTAAGGCAGGTTTCTTCACCTGAGACAATCCCCAAAAAGGTGTAACAGCTGAAGACCATCTTCTGCTGCACTTACAGCAGCCAGGAGAATGAGTGCTTCATCTGTGTCACCCACAGTGCAAACTTTAACAAGGATCAACTCATGGATGATCTTTTTTTTCAGCTGTACCTCTAATACATGCACAAACAGAAGCATACCCATCTTTTGGTTTTTGGGTTGTCTGTGGGGTTTTTGAGATAGAGTCTCGCTCTGTCACCCACGCTACAGTGCTGTGATGTGATCTTGGCTCACTGAAGCCTCTGTCTCCTGGGTTCAAGCAATTCTCCTGCTTCAGTCTCCTGATGAGGGACTATTTTAACTTCTCTTCCCGGGTCCAGAAGGGGCGTGGTTTCAAAGGCAAGAACTTCTCAGCACAATACCTCCATCCACCTCCCCATCTGGGAGCCTAGAGTTCTTTGTCTAACTTTCCAGCACATGGGAAGTGTAGACACCCCAGATGAGCTTCCTTCGTTTAAAAAGCTCACCAAAAGCCTTGAAATGAGGGACTCTGTTGCAAGCCAGGCAGCAAATCCAGCATCAGAGTCAAAGATGAATCACTCCAGAGGCAGTTTGGAAAAGCTCCTCTCACTGGATGAAAATTTGAATGGGGCAAGAGTAACTCCGAGGTTAAATTCCCCCTACTCCCTTACCTATACGGATTTCCTTCTCTGGGATCCCCTCCCACGGCAGCGTGGGAGCCCTCTGTCTCTCTCTTTTTAGCTGTGTGGACTCCATTTCTGGATCCCCTCTCACGACCATATGGGAGCTCTTTCTCTCTCTCTCTCTCTCTCTCCCCCCCCTCCCTATTTCTCTTTCTCTCTCTCTGCCTAATAAATCACTTTTCTGCAAAGCTCTTTGGGTCTGATATTTACTTGAACAATATCACCACGCTGCCAGGGTCCTTCTCCCCATACTTGAGTGAGTGAGGCCCAAGGACCTGGGAAAACCCACCCGATCAGGGAACACTGAGTGTCGTTGGGACAACCCCGCAGCCCCGCTCCTGTTACCCAGTTACACTGAGTAGCCATGCACCACCACGTCTGGCTAATTTTTGTATTTTTAGTAGAGATGGGGTTTCACTATGTTGGCCAGGCTGGCCTCAAACTCATGGCCTCTGGTGATCTGCCTGCTTTGGCCTCCCAAAGTGCTGGAGGTGGGACAGAGTGAGACACCTCCAGAACTTTGGGAGGCCACGCTGGGATTACAGGCGTTAGCTACTGTGCCCGGCCATTAGTTAAAATAATTTTAAATTCATTTTTTTCTGTTAACAGAAGTAATCATACTCCCTGGAAAATATTATAAAGATACAGAAATGAATTATGTAAGAAGTGAAGTTCTGCCAGGTGCGGTGGCTCAAGCCTGTAATCCCAGCACTTTGGGAGGCCGAAGGCGGGTGGATCACGAGCTCAAGAGATCGAGACCATCCTGGTCAACACGGTGAAACCCCGTCTCTACTAAAAATACAAAAAATTAGCTGGGCATGGTGGCACGTGCCTGTAATCCCAGCGACTCAGGAGGCTGGGGCAGGAGAATTGCCTGAACCCGGGAGGCGGAGGTTGCGGTGAGCCGAGATCACGCCATTGCACTCCAGCCTGGGTAACAAGAGCGAAACTCCGTCCCAAAAAAAAAAAAAAAAAAAGAAGTGAAGTTCTCTGGCACTCCACCTCCAAGGACAACTGTTGTTTTACATTCATTATACTGTTCCCATTGAGAACATTTTAAATATAGAAATAACATAATCATGGTTTTGCTTTAGAAAAATTAGATTGGCAACAGTGTATTATGGCAGGGATGGGGGACTTATGAGGGGAAATGGAGGTAAAACCCTGTCTCTACAAAAAAATACAAAAATTAGCCAGGCGTGGTGCATTCCTGTAGTCTCAGCTACTCAGGAGGCTGAGGCACAAGAATCACTTGAACCCAGGAGGTGGAGGTTGCCAAGATCATGCCACTGCACTCCAGCCTTGGCCACAGAGTAATACCTTGTCTCAAAAAAAAAAAAAATTTAGTAGCTATTGATTGTCTTCAGATTAAAGTTCAAATGCTTATATATTTGGCATTATGACCAAAACTGTAAGGAGTTGAGATTTATAAATACAAATATTTATGTCATATGATTTATATTTATAAAATATAAATAATTTATATATAAATGTTATATATATGATATATTCTCTGGTGTTTCAGTGCTGGTGACAGAAACACCAGAGAACAGGTCATTTATTACTCACACGGCATATTAACGCCAGAACCTCACTTCTTAATTCCTCATGGGCTATACAACAAGGACCATATATTCACCTGTATGTACAAGTAGAGTTTGCACTACAGGAGAGAACCGCCAAATTATGAGAGTTGGAGCTTATATCTAGCAGCTGAGATATCTGCCCATCCTCTTCTACAGAACATTGCTATGGGATATGATCACATTTTCTCTGGAAAGAGAGAGAAAGGGCAGGTCTTTAACTTTCCTTTACCACCTTGGAATGTAAATAAATGGCTCCAAGCGAGAGAAGTCTCTAAATCTCTTCAGAATTTTCTGTCTTTAAGATTAATATCTAGTTATCCTTTACTCAGACTGTTCAGGAGCACTGAGAAATCCAGGGAGAAAAATCTTCCAACTCAAGGCATTCCAGGCCTTGGGATCTCCTGCCTGTTTTTCCAAATTCTACCAACTTCTTTCTCTGCATCCTGGGTCCCAGTGATGTAATCTTCTAGCATGCCTTCTAACATCTTTGTGCCCTTGTACTTGCTCTTTCTCTGTGTCTGCAACACCCTTCTTATCTCATCTTCATCTCCTTAATTTCCCACATTTTTCACAACTCATTTCTACTTTAGAAAGCTTGTCCTCAGCCAGGTGATGTGGCTCACACCTGTAATCCCAGCACTTTGGGAGGCTGAGGCGGGTGGATCACGAGGTCAAGAGATCGAGACCATCTGGTCAACATGGTGAAACCCCGTCTCTACTAAAAATACAAAACATTAGCTGGGCATGGTGGCACGCGCCTGTAATCCCAGCTACTCAGGAGGCTGAGGCAGGAGAATTGCTTG